TTTTTGGTTTTTTGAGACAGGGTTTCTCTGTGTAGCTTTGCGCCTTTCCTGGAACTCACTTGGTAGCCCAGGCTGGCCTCGAACTCACAAAGATCTGCCTGCCTCTGCCTCCCAGTGCTGGGATTAAAGGCGTGCGCCACCACTGCCCAGCTTACATGCATTTTTTATGTGTGAGTATATGCCACATGTGTTCAGGTGCCTAGGAAGAGAGAGGTGGATGCCCTGGAGCTAGAGTTACAGGTGGCTGTGAGCTGCCCAGCAAAGGTGCTAGGAACCAAGCCCAGGTCTTCGACAAGAGCACTTCGCACTCTTAACTGCTGAGCCATCTCTCGAGCCCTTCACACATACATTTTGTTTTTGTTTTTTGTTTGTTCAAGATAAGGTGTCACTGTCTCTTGGTTTGGCTGTCCTGGAACCCACTATGTAGCCTAGGGTAGCCTCGAACTCAGAGATCTTCCTGTCCCTTCCTCCCAAGTGCTGGAATTAAAGGCGAGTGCTATCACGACCAACACCTCGCATACACATGTTGATGTGTTCCCTCCGGGAACACGGGCTGACCACCAACCTCATTGGTGCTCTTCTGAGCCAGCAGGCGCCTCTCATTCAGGACCATCCACAGGGCCGCCATCAACATCACCATCCCGTGACCGCAGTCTCCAAACATCACGGCGAACAGGAAGGGGAAGGTGACGATCGTGTAGGGAGCTGTCGGGGTGACATCCACAGCAGCTGAGGCCCCTGAATGGGCCCTCACCCTGAACCAAGATTTCTCTAGAGAGGCCCCTCCTGCTGCTGGCGGGTTCCCACGGGCCTCCCTGATTGTCTCTCCCCCACCATCTATCTCCACACAGTCCTGGCGTGGTTCCCGCGTGCCCGAGCTACCCCATGAGCACAGGTTCTCCTTTCTGGGTTTGTGGCGGCACTGGGTCTCACACAGGTGACTCAAGACTCCCAGTCACAAAGCTAGATGGCATTTGCAATGGTTGATCGTGACTGCTTGCTGGACTGGATCAGTCCAGTGTGATGGTACCCCAGAAAGAAGGAGATCCTGAGGGCTCTGACCTAACCACTGGATTACTCCCTCAATGGATTCATAGGATGGTGGCATTGGGAGGGGGTGAAAGGTAGTGGTCTAAGGCCTCATCTGCTAACTAAGGAAACTGGCAGGCTGTGGTCTGGGGCATCTCCACAGGACAGTCCCTGAGCTGGCCTTCAGTGCCTGCTCTTCCCTCATAGGTGGATCTGTATTCATTTGGGGAAATAGGTCACTGGTTGGGACTTGTGTTGGCTAGTTTTTTGTCAACTTGGCACAAGCTAGAGTCATTGTAGGAAGAAGCCTTCATCAGATTGGCTGGTAGGCAAGTCTGTGGGGGCATTTTCTTATTAATGAGAAGGCCCAGCCCACTGGGAGCAGTGCCACCCTGATGTTTAAGAAAGTAAGCTGAACAAGCCATGCAGAGCAAGGCAGTAAGCAGCCTTCCTCTGTGGTGGTAATCTAATTGTACTGAATTATTATTTTGATTGTATGTTAATAAATAAAGTTGTCTGAGGGTCAGAGCTATTAGAGCCATAGCAAGAGTGTGGCGGTGGTGGCACACGCCTTTAATCCCATA